TTTTTTTTACGCATCAAAGCAGAAAAAGGGATACAAAAATTAAATGCTTACTTGACAAAGACTATACAAGCGTTATCCTCATTTTTTCTTCAAAGACGGGGACTAAACTAGACAATAATTCATGTGCCATGTCTCTTCTTTGCTTAAAAGCAACCCGTTTTCCATCCTCTTATGATATTATCCTATTATGACAATCTATTAATTTGACATTTCTCTTTGTGAACCTTCACTGCCGCTCATCTTTCAAAAAATGGAAAATGGACACGGTCCCCTTGGGAGTACGAAAATCAATGATTACATCCTTCCATTATCTCATCATAAGATTTAAACATTTAAATGAGCAGACTGTCTCAAGCACAAAAATTCTTGAACAATGAAAAACAAAAACTAATTTGTAAAAAAAACAAACAGCCAAGGAGTGCTATAATATTATGAAACATCAACAACAAGGTAAATAACGAAAAGACTGTCCAGAGTAAAAACGAAAAAAAACCACACCTACTACATCCAAAATTATGCTAAAATTTAAAAGATAAGAGGAGCCCAAAATTGCTTGCCAGACAAAGAACGGCTGCTGCAGAGTACAATTTATCTGCATTTGTGTTAGCAAAAATAGTTCTTGACCTGTGATTTTAACTGGAAAAAAAAGAAAATATGGGCAACTATTTACGTTTGGTCCCCTTAAAAGATTTTTTTTCAAAAGACACCAAAATGCATATCTGAAGTAAAAACATCAAATATCAATTATACAAACGGTAGGCGAGAGAAAACATGGTTGAGCCGACACTGAGCAACAGTTTTGAGGTGTTGTTAAATTCATCTTGTCACATCAGACAAACACGTTCCTAAAGAGGTACGAAAAGGAAGAAATGGGTTAAAATAACAGTCCGAAAATTGTAAGAAACGTTCAATCAATAGATCAAATAGACTTATGCCATGGCTGTAGGTGAGGTAGCTTCATAAGGCAAAGGAAGCAAAGAGGCATAAGGTATTGAGCATAATTATTGTACAGGATTTCCGAATATAATAAAAAAGCAGTCCACATTATTTTACTCTATATATCTGCCAGCTGCAGAAAATAAAAACAAACCCCAAATGACTTCACTGAAAATCCAGTTCTAATGTTGACCTCATACAAGAAGTTCAAAGGAGATGCAAGGATCTGTATGAATTGTCAAATAGAACTATCCTGTTCGTCCCGGTCTAAGTGGGGGAGAGAAAGCAAACATCAAACCACTTCCTCATTTCCCAGTTTCAAATATTACCCAAAAAAATAGAAAATTTTAGTCTGTCACAGACTTTACTCTATTGAAAATTTTTAATGTAGATTATTTGTTCAGAAAAATTATATTTAAAATTACACAGCTAACTTGTATGGATCATCAATGGTACAATTTTGTGAGTGCAAGTAAGGGAAAAAAAAGAGAAAAGTGCAAGACTTTTAAAAAAGGCATAATTCAAACTGAAAGTTTAAAAAATTCAAAGCAACATTATTTCACTCCAGATATATGCTTCAAAATCAAAGTCAAGAAAGAGGGATTAAACTTTTTACCTAATCACAGAGATAGCCCTAGGCTGTAAGCTACATGGAATATTCCTTCAATGGCAACAATAATGACAACGGGGGCTTCAGCATCTACTGAAAAACCCTGGGTTTTTTTAATTAGGAAGGCTTAGACTTAGAAGCAGGCATGAGCAAGCTTGTCCAAGTCGAAAGGCCGGTCGAAGCCATTGCAAATATCTTGCAGTTCAAAAGAGGAGAAAATTGGGTGAAATCAGTTGAAATACCATACTCAAGTTCTCAAAAGTGAGACTAAATTAACTGACACATCAGCTTTTATTTCACTTAAGGGCATCCCACCAGGTAAAATTATACCTACTGCTTCCAGCTAGGCCCGAAACTATTGGTTTCAATTTTCAAGATGAGACATTTTTATTTTTATTAATCATTTAAATTCATAGTGGGCTACATTCACTATCAATTACTGGGCCAACTCGCAGGCCTGGCTGAAACAGCTCATGGGCTGAATCTGGCCCGTGGGCTCTAGTTTGCTCATGCCTGGTTCAAAAGTCTCAAACTTGGAGAAACAGTACAAACTGTATATGAAAAAGGCCTCCAAAAAACCAGCGTTCAGATAAATTTGCAGAGAACAGTAAGAAAAGGAAAAAGGACACCAACAACCCC